ATTTCTATTGGTATAACAGAATGTGTTCCTTGTGTCAAACGATAGTTATTTATATGTTAAAGAATGGTTCTGTTGAATTATGTACCATTGAAAGGAAATGTATTATAACCGGAACGAAATAGTTCGTTCAATGGTAAAGAAATATTCATAATCGCGAAAGATATTTCTGTACAGGTTGAATAATGGTTCTATTAATCATTTGTGTTTACAGAATGGTTCTATGGATGGTATAGAATTGTTCATTACCAGAACAGATATTTCTGTACAATTAACTAAATTGTACCGTTAATCTCGGAGATTGTTATCAGGACAATTTATACACTACACTGTTTTACCACTAACCAAACCGATTTTTTAACGCCTCGACACGTGTTTCGCTAACTATGTTAGCATCTTCAGGAGAAGATTAAAACTCAGTTTCATTTCATTTCTTGAAAAAATCTTTTCATGAATCCATCAATATATTCGAGTTTCCTTTTATCGGTTCTTGATAATCAATGTTAACCTGAAATAGTACAAGAATAATTAACAGAAAAAATAAACGCATTAGTGTGAAGAAGCTAAAACCTCTGAAACAAGATTAAAGTGAGAACAAATAACATACCAGTCTATATCCAAGTGGGTTGGTATAATGCTTCCAAGTCTTGAGAATACCATAGCAGTATGATCTTCCTTGTTCTGTCGAATGTGTTTCAACCGTCCATGGCGTGTCTTGATCCACCCTTCTCAAAAATGTTCCGAAAGTGAAATGCAAGCGGAAGTAAACAACCTTTTGCTTCAATATGCTGGAAAACTGCCTCTCCGTCCACGAAAGTTTCAGAGACTTCATTGTTTATAGTAAACTGAATAATTTTTCCTACATAATCATTTCTAATGAGTCATTGTTGCAATAGATATTCCGTTTTGCCCACACACTTCGAGTAATTCGTCAAATTCTCACCTTAGAACCAGATCACCCACTTTAATTTCAACGAACTTTTTAAGATGATAGATCAACTTCTTATCTTGAAAACTACGAGTAAAAGTTCATAGGAACGTCTTTCTATTTTCTCGCTCTCATTGTTGTCACAATATATTGAAGTAACCATACCTATACTCATATTAATGTAACACCCTGTATATTGATAAATGTATATCACACAATCAGGTATCCCAGTATCCAAATCTTGCTAAGCTGATATAGGGTTAAGTACACTTACCTTGATACCTATCAATCGGAAAGAAAATTGAAAACAACACTCAACATCGATGCATTCACTGTCAATACTAAATAAAAAATGAATAATGCCCTATGCGGTATATGGGATGGTAACCAAATTTGAAAATAGACCAACACATCATGTTCGGTGACATCAGGTGAGCGTACGCACGAATCTGATTGGTGAATAATGACATAATGTTTCTTGCGTTTCTTGAACTGGAACAGAACTATTTGTTTTATTTAAAGAACATTCTTTCGAAAGAATGACTTCACTCATGATCTTTTAATATTACAGAACTATTCGTATCCGCATGAGATATTTTCTTTAATATTCAAAGAAAGATTTTGTGTCAATTCTAACGAAATATTCCATGAGTGTTAGAGAAGATTCTATTCTTGGTATAAAATTATCATTGAAAATGTCAAAATGAATAGTACAGATCAAACTTTGATACCAACAGTATTTTCTGTAATCTTATACCTAGCTATTCTATCAATATTATAGAATGATAAGTGAATAGTAAAGAAATTATATATGATCGGAGACAACTACTTACAGAAATTTATTGTAAAATTAACAGAAAATCTGCAACATTCTGTATCTTTTGTGACAATGGTTCTTTTTATGGTAAAAAAATTCTGTAACGCTGAAATAATTCTTCTTTAAATTCGATACAGAACCCGTTCTGTTAATGCTATCAAATTATTTTTTTCTGTGTAGGACGATGTGTTGAATGATGCCCATTGTTCATAATCTTTTTCAATGATTCCATTCTTGTTTGAAAGTGTCTCTCAACATAAGAACGCTCAGAGGTTAATAATCTGTTGCATAAACTCATGCACATTCGAAATTATCTTCGACTTACTGCTTTAAACCGATTAAGTTTATAGGTGAGTAAGTATACATATTAATTATGTTGTTTCAAATTCCAATCATGAAACAACTATATCACCCTGGCGCCCTCACATCTCTACCTATATAGCTTTTTTTAACAATCCCCATATTTGAATGTGTATTTACTTACATATTATAATGTCTCCGTGATATATCCACATTAGTAGCTTTGTGTCGAATCAGAGATAAAAAAAAAGATCTCCCCAGTTCAGAACTACATTTTGATTGGAATTGAGAAAATAAAGAATGGAAATGGTATCGATGATTCCTGATTACTTACTGTTTTTTCTCAATCATGCACAATCTCAATAACCAGTTAAAAATGAATATATAACATACAAGAGTTTCTTGTCCAACTGCTCATTGAAATCCTTTTGATTCAAATCGCTCTTTTCCGGGCTGATACACCATGTTACACATATTTAAGGAAATTCTGAACCATCGTGTATGGTAGGAATATATTCTAAGAATCTATTGAAAGAGGGGGTGTACATCATCCTGTGATATAGGGTGTCCCTGAAAAGTCTGTAGAAACTGATACCACAGACTCCTGAGATTAAAGTGAGGTGCCCAAACTTATACATCTGTACCAAAACGCTTCGTTTAGACGCTACAGAGGACGTTGGCATTATGGCATTGAATTTTTATTTCGTATTCGAATGCAACACCCTATCTGTTGGATTTATATGAGGAAGTGTGTGCCACTGAATATCATTGATATGATTGATTATTAGATACTAAAATTGAGTACGAACCTATAAGCAATAAATAATTCTGAAGACTATCAGGAATGCATCAAATTGAATTTGGTCAAATTCCAGGTGGGCTGAAAGTAAGGTATTGATTGAGATAATAAGAAAGCAGCATTGAAATTTGTTCAGGAGCGTATTCAGAAAAAGTTCTATATAGGTTCATGAATTTTTCGATCAACCATAGTACTCCAAATATGTAACAATGTCAATCGAAATGCAATGTATTTTTTCATGCATATTAGTCCTTACAGTGTGCCTACAGAATTTCAGAACACTATCTATAGATACAATTGAAATATAGGGAAAAATAAAAATTCAATTCCAACGCTCTGTAGCGCATTAACGTAGTGTTTTGGTATACCTAGAAGTAGGTAAGTTTGGTTTAATCATCTCACTTTTGGTATCAGGATTCTGTTGTAAATACATTTCAGATACACCTTGTATATTCAAGAGAGTTCATTTCATACGAACATCTTTCAACTTTGTTTGAGATGCTCCTCCTTTGAAACTATAAAATATCGAGTTGACTATATCAGAAAACCTCAATAAGCGTCTGACTCTAAGTTATAGAACCATGATTTTTTTGTGAAATCGTCAAAGTAGAAGCAAGTCAATTTCGATCGATATAAATATTTCCGCTCGTAATAACATGCTCGTATTGCTCGTATACGGATAGTATAACAGCCACTTCAATATTCTGCTGATGATACGGCTCTCAACTTTCATCACTCATCACTCTACGAAAATGGAACCCGAGCAAAAAAGTTAATCCACTTCACGTACTGTTCATCAATATCAGAAATCTAATATGTAAACAGGTTATATAAACAATCTTGAGCCACCGCAGCGGTCCAGTCCGGTGGTTGAAGTGGCCCCAGCTAAGATCCTCGTGGTATACGATCGGGACGGATGTTAAAATGACACAGGCCGATAGTTAGTGGTTTTTTTCGAAGAAACCGCTGTGTGCACGCGTTCTTCTTTCTCTTATTACGGACATATTGATCGAACACGAGAAAATTACAACGGCTGGCGTTTATTTTCATTCTCGTTTGGAATTTTTTGCCACGTAGATACGCCAGACAATATCCTGCGGAATGACCGCTTCTCATGATAAAAAGTAATTCTATACGCGCGATCTTCAGGTATTATTCGAAATTGTGATCCCGATTTTATGTTTATTGTTATTGCCTCTCGGAGGTGCTCTACCTCCCACTTGGATTACTTAATTATGGGGAGGATTCTTCATAGGAAGTGTCAGCTTGTCGATGAGAAACTGGAGTATGGTGTGAGAATTACGTCTTCTTTTTTATGGGTTCTCGCGTTTTTGTCTTCTACAAATGGACATAAAATTCCATACAACGCCTGACGAGGGTGTATAGACGAAGAATTGGATGCTATATTAGGCAGGACTCCTGACTAGATCGTTGTTTTTCTCAGTGGCCGAGATCATTTGCAGAAATTCCGATAATTCCATGCACAGCACAAATTCTATAAAGCAGCAAAAACATAAAGCATATAAAGGCGAATGCCTCTAGACTATAAGAGTCGTTGGTCATTATATATAGAACATGTTTTGCAACTATAATAGTTATTTATATATCAATAATAGCGTAACGTAGGCGTAAATGGCCTGCATTAGCGTGAATAATGGCCCAATGGCGTTAGCCGAGGGCCAAAGGCTGTGAACGCATTTTCAAAAGTCAAAAGTAAACACTACATTTCAAAAAACTAAATTTTATGATATGTTACGTATAAAAATAATAATAATTAGGGAGCTTTATTGGCTACTCAAAAGGCCACCGCCTGTGTTACACGGTAATTATAGGTTACATTGAGTTTAAATTCATCATTATTGTATGTACAAGATATATGGAATTATTAATTTTGCTAGTGTAAAAAAAGAAGAAAAGTCTATTGTGGGAAAGGATTCTGAAGGAATTTCAGTCTTCCGAATTGATTGACCATTCCAATAGTGTGTTTTCCGGAATGTTACGTATAAATTCAGTATAATCGAGAGAAGCGTATAATGTGTATAGATAATTTACATATGAGAAATATCGTATACTAATATTGCATTTATCGTAATAGTATAAATAAAACTCTTTGTTCATAGTAGATTTTTTGGAATTATGACGATTTTTTTTATTTCCAGATTTCTCGTATCTACAAGGAGACAGAGGTGAGCATTTCTAAAATCTAAAATATCCCAAATTATCAAAATAAAAGAAATGGGTAGCAATGAAAAATGTTATAGATACGGGAGAAAAACAACTATACCCCCCCCCTCTTTATCTCAGCTATTAGTTATGTGATTCGTTACAAATTTGGACCGGTATAAATAACCATCAATATAATCTGTATTTCAGAGACAAACATTCTTTTGGAAAGTGCTATATTTTTTTATTGAAATAAAAAGGGTCGATTTTTATAAAATCATATTAGTAATTTTTGGCAAGAAAACTAAAAAATTAACAGAATTGGCTCAATTTTTTTCATTTTCAGCCCCGACAATTGTAGTTATAAGTACCGTGTAACAGGGTTTATTTGGCAGAAAAATCACATTGTAATAAACATCAATAAGGCTGAGTAAATGCTGAAAATTTGAATGAAATGAAAAATATTGGAAGATAACAGAGGAAGAATAATTGTTTAGAGGCTGCCAAAGTAGGCAAACGTTTCTCCTAACTTTGGCAGGATATGTTTTTCGCTCAAAATACGGGAGTAGACTGCTCTGAAAGTTTTACTTGTCAATTTATTTTCAAAAATATCATAATTAAGCTTTATTTAAACAACGTTTTTGTACAAAAATAAACCTTTTTATTCGAAAATAATAGACCATTGCATAAAACAACATGGAAATGTAGAAATATCAGTTCTTCTCTATATCTAATTGAGTTACTTTATGAAATGCCCTGTATATTGTGATAGACTGAACGCGTACCTATACATATTTTGATTTCAACCTGATATCTGTGACCGTTCATTTATAATTGAGTCTTCAGTGATTCCCATAATTTCGCGAAATTGTCTTTCTCTTTTGTTCTGAAACTGTTCAATGTGGTTTAATTTCTACCGAACAAAAAATATTCATCAATGAACTTATTATTTTGTTAAATACTGGCCGTTGATAAATTAGTTTTTCCCTGGCATATTGGTTTTGGAAATGTGCTCAATCCATTTTTTTGTCGATTCCAACAATCTTTTTGTTTTCGAATTATTGGATTAAAGAGGTTTCTTCAGTTTTTTGGTCCGATGAAGCGGATGTTATCTGGCACGTACGTCGCGCTTCATTTCACATCAAAAATCGGTTTTATAAACAGAATTATGTCCGAATTAGTCATGGATTACGGGATGGATGAACATGCAAATGATACTATTAATATGCACAGAGCATGGACGTACGATGAATGCAGATACGATTATCCATATATAATCATTGGACTTTTTTTTAAACAAGATGGAAATATGAATACTGTTTTCGTGCAATCGTACAGGAAGAGAGTACTTCGCGTCCTCTACATAGTACGCGAAGTACAACTCCACAGCCGTTGCCCATAAATAGACTAGGATTAATTATCAACACCAGAATATAAAACATAGACGGGTGACTGGCCGATGCACGTATACACGTTATTATTAGGAACAGCGATCTCACTATGCTCAACATAAGCTTGTCAGGAGTAACCATACCTTTGAAGACATCCATTTCGATGCATGTTATCAGCAATAACCTTTCTTGGGAAAATCACGTGAGATCAATTGCTGAAAGTGTATCCCAAAACCTTGGTTTTCTGTTTCGGGCAAGGAGCTATTTCACTTCCATTCAGCTGATTTTGATCTATAAGGCACAGATCCGACCCTTCCTGGAATACTCTTCCCATATTTGGAGTGCAGCACCCAAACATACCCTGAAACTGTTGGATTCTATAAAAAAAGGACAGTTCGTCTCGTATGTGTTGCCTCGCTCACACACTCACTCACTTCTCTGGAACACCGTAGAGAAGTTGGCGATCTGGCTCTATTTTATAAATATTTTCATGGACGATGCTCTTCTGAAATATCAATAATTATTCCTCCCTTGGCAGTCACCGCCAGATTAACCCGTCGAGTTAAGGCTTCGCACCCCTTCGTGGTCACTTTAGAGACCTGCAGAACATCTCTTTCCAAAAACTCGTTCATCCAACGAACAGCGAGGCTCTGGAACACATTGTGAAGGGAGGTGTTCCCCGAGGCATATAATCTCCAGAAATTCAAGAAAAACACCAATTCCTACCTTATTTCCCTTGATTCTCTTTGACATCATTGGAACACCGTAGAAAGGTCGGCGACCTTTCACTTTTCTATCGATACTTCCACGGGAAATGTTCTTCGGAAATCTCTGCTATCATCCCTTCACTAGCAATCCCATTCAGACGAACTAGACAAGCCCAGTCAGCACATCCTTTCGTTGTCAACCTCGAAAAATGTCGAACTGCACTTTATCAAAACTTTTTCATCCATAGAACGGCTAGGCTCTGGAATTCATTGCCTGAGGAAGTATTCCCAACAACATATATATAATCTCCAGAAGTTGAAAAAAAATTCCAATACCTACCTCCTATCCCTATCCTCCTTAGGAACGCGCGATGTTCTTTGAACATTATAGGGATTCCCTTTCGTGCGCTCCAAGCGATAAAAAAAATATCCCTTTTCGTGGGAACCAGAACTTAAAAAAAGCATTGAAGTGTCGTTCACGAGGCTATAGTATTTTCCATCATTCAATCAAATATGTTCAATACCTGCACATCTGAATAACTTTCTTTAACTTTTAGGTAATTTTTAATCTTCCGTAAACGCTGTTTCGTAACGAAATACTCCTGTATCCCCAATCATCATTTCTTCATCATCGCTTGTATCCGAAGTATCTATGATTTCGGAAATTATTGTAATAATAGTAATAAACTTCAATGAGACATTCATGATTATTCAAATTCTAAACATTTTCCCACTCGTGACTCGAATATTTGAGGTTATGTGTATCGCACCGTCGTACAAGCACAGTTTTGAGAACTCGAACTCTGAGCGAGCATCGAGCAAGTTTGCAAGTCAGTGGAAATCATTTTTCGACAAAAGTTCGCTCTTGAAATTCTCAGTGGACCACGCAAAATGCACTCAGTGCCGAAAAAGTTCGAGCTAGTGCGACGAGTGGAAAACGCTATTTATCTTTGCGACTTTCGTCATGCATTATATTATTACTATGAGGTTCATAGTTGGATAGATAGATTAATATAATAATTATACTCATTTTCATTTATAACTACGCTCATGGAAGAATCGGAATTTTCACGGATTGAAAGAAGTTCTGTTCGATTACTGTTTCAAACATTATAATCAAGAAGTTTTTGTACGTCGTACCACCTGAGTATATAACCACCAAACAATTATTTTCTTTCGTCTCGAATTCGAAAGAGTTATTCTAATTCTTTGTTTTAATTTACCTCAAGCGGAAAAATCTCTTTCAGCTCCACTTCATTTATTTCTTTGTTAGTTCCATTCGATATCCGTTAATTGAAATTTCAATGGGAGGTGATGTTTATTTTTGAATTGGATTAGGATACCTCCCAATGCGACTTTTTATTGTCTTTATAATATAAATAAAAAGAACCAGAATAAAGAAAGATGCGAAGTTTCCGAATTATACGTATGTATGATATAAAGGTAGTTTGTGTATATTACGAGACATAATACAGCTTCAACTATACACGAGGTGGAAAAAATTTCAAATAGTCAAATGTCTGGGATCCCAATAACTATTCAATTTCATATCATAGTTTCTCAGTGTTATATATACTATAAAATCAGCCAAGAAGGAGTTGATAATAAAAATTACTCAAAGATATTTCATATCAGGGTATACTAATCAACATGATTTCACATAGTAAAATCCGTAACTAAATATACTTATACCTAGATGATGAGCAAGTCGGTATGTAAATATGCTGTACATAATGTATTAATTCCTTCCGTTATATCTTAATAACATTTTAAATCGATTTTTTCACAATAAAGATTTTCTGACCACAGCTTCATTGTCCAAACAAGTCGAGGATAAATAAGCATTAAATATTGAAATCACAACAAAATCGACTCTGTCAAATTGGTTTCCATATATAGTTGGAATTAAATATTTAATCTGTTTAATGAAAAAACATCAATTTTTTCGGTAACCATCAAATCAGTTTCTTTCTTCGATCCTTTGATGGCTCAATCGAAAGATTCAACTACCTGTCATTTCGATAAATGAACAAAAACCCCGTAGAGATAAACTTGATCTCGAATCAATGAGATTTAAAAACCACAATGTTTATTGCGTTTTATATCACGCATCAAATCTTGACGTTATTACTCCATACACCTTTAATAGACATATCAAGTTCCTTGTTAGATATCAAATTATAGGTGTGAGCTTCTACACAATAAAAAGTTATTAAATCTCTTTCTAAAGGGACATTAAACCTGATAACGAATTAAAAAAAACAGATCAATGAAAGTAGTGCGTATACCGAGGCGTATACCCTACCCAAATTCGATATCTCGTAGACAAAAGATTTTTTTTTGGCTTGGGAATTCGAAAAAAACTAAGTCATGCTAATGCTATTAGGTAGATAACCCATTACCAGACAAGGGCGTCCCTTTAGGGTAATAAATCGAAATAGGACTGAATGTTATCTTACTCAAATTCAAATTGGACTTTTTCGAAATAAGTGTGATTTTTCTCTTATTGTGTGTTCTTGTTTGAGACATCAAGATAATTAATCGTTTTCCACTGGGGTGAGCAAAAATTCGATCGTTTGTTTGTTTGTATGTATTGAATAGGCTCCGAAAATACTGGATCGATTTGGCTGAAAATTGGTGGGGAGGTAGAGGAGAAGGTTATATGATACTTTATATCCTGGTACCATTAGGAAATTCAAGATGTCGGATCTAATATATCGGACGAAATTTGTAATTATGGTCCGATTCCATTCAAAATTGGTATCTGGGGGTTTTCGGGGTCGGAGATTATGATTCTTTCGTCAGAATTTGAAAATTTGGGCGAAATTTGGAAATTCAAGATGGCGGAACCAATATGGCGGACGAGTATTGTACTTACAGACATAATGTATAGCAAAACAACGTTTCGAGGTCTGCTAGTATAAT